AACTAGCAGTCTATAAGGTTTACATTGTCTGACATGCTTTATTTTTCTGCACACATGATTTATCCCCTTAACATTCTGAAACTGAAGATGATCTAAGCCTTTGCAACTAGTATAGAACCAGGCTAGCCTGAGATTATGTCTATACAAATTTAGATGGACTGTTCTAAATTCATGACAGGGCAAGTATATTACACAAATTATGTAGGTTAAGAATTAAGGAGTTACTTCCCTTTGATATATTTTTTTAGCCCAGAATGTTTCAATTATCATAAGCAGACAACATGCATGTTAGATTTAAACATACAATGTCCAACAAACTTTAGAACAGGTCTCACAGGAACTGACTTAAATGAGTGGGAAAAATATGACAAAACTGTTAAAACAACTGTGCTACTTCTTATGCAAATGAGAGGCATTAAATAATAATAAGTCAAAGGCATAACTTGTAATTATATGATTTCAATTTTTAGTGTAGCGTAACAGGGGCTGTTTAGGCCCAGCCTTAGAAAAGCAAATTTTATAGCAAAGTTGAGACTAACATTTACATGGAAAAAAAGAAATAAATAAGCTAAATAAATAATAATAAGTAATTAAAAGAAAATTATTAGGAATGTATTGTTCTGGAAAAAAAAGGGGGTGGGGTTTAATATAGCAAAATTTAAGTTAAGATTTTATGTAGGATTATTAATTAACTTCACAGTATGGAAAGTTTATCTTACACTGGTACAGGGAAAATTAATCTAGTGATGTGATAAAAACTGTGTCAAGCATTACGTTACTATTTTTAACTTTGTGGACACTACGATGGTATGATGGTATGAGAGGTACAAAGTGCACGGAGTGAATGTTATTCTGGATTGTTTGATACGGATTATTTCGTAATTGTTCTTAAAAGTCTTGTGACCATTATATAATGTAAGGTTATGAATTATTTATATCTTAATATGTCAGCTGTTTTCTTTCTTTAAATCAGTCTATACTACTTTTGGCTAGTCTGCTCAAGATTGAGTTGAAATGGAAGTCAAAGTTTTGTTACTTTTATATTTTACTCAACATTTTACATTTGAGATTGATTCTGGAGCAAAATGGGTCAAGGTCATTGACTTCCAAACACTTTGGTCTCACCACAGTGTGTTTGAATCCCATTAGGGTAGTGGTTTTTCTCACTTAATTGGGTAAGGCCTCTTGATTTTAGGGGAAATTATCACTATAATTGCTAATTTGGGAAATGTAAAACCTGGGGTAAGTTCAGAATTTTGGGAAAACTGCATGATTTTAAAGAAAATTTCAATTGGGAAGAGGCCTTTTATAGACATTTGTCATATAAAATAGAAAATCACTTTAGGGACTTGGAATTCTTATATGAGGAAGCTATTCATTTTAAACAGAACAGAAGGTAACAATTTATGGTCATATTGGGATGATCATTTAATGTTTCTTAAGTAACTTGCAGGAAAGTTTTATTTGGTCAGTTAAATTTGACAGTCCTGATTATAATGGTCTTTATATTGTAGGTGTAACCTAAAAGCTAACTTAAAACAAAACAATTTTTGAGGTTTAAATCAAGTTTTTTGTTAAACTGTCAGAGATAATTGTTTTATTCGATATTATGTGATTAGAAGTCAAATTTTGTGAAACTATGATACTAACGTTTAACATTTTAGGGCGAGGATAAATTTTGTTACATGTGTAATAGCTGTAGGTTGTTTATTTAATGAACATATGTGTTAAAATGTGACTAATTGTAAAAGCATTTGTTTTGGGCAGTCACAAACTATGTTGTAAATGTTTCTAAAATGTAATATGTTTTGAAGAAAGTGTGATGTTTCACATTTGACTAATGTATATACATTTATATACATGTACATATCATTTTGTAAGATGATTCCTTTTAAGGGAAATTTTATATAATATACTGACTGAAAAGCAAACAGTGCAGTCTATGATAGTTGCTGGGACTGGTCACATATTGGGAAGATTCCTTATTAGTGTGAAACAATACCATTCAAATTTTGGAAAGTCGGTGACTTAACTTAGATACCAGCTTTTGCTTTCAAATTATGAAGGAACAAGATATTGACACCTTCCTTCTAGAATAATCTCAGAAAGTTACCATATGACCTTTACAGTGGGTGATTTAAAACAGAACAAAAACTAATAATGTCAGTGGTAGTCTGATAAATTGTACAAGTTTATTTTTATTAACAAGACACATTTACATGCCTTGCTATATGATATTTGAAATAGAGAAAATATTGAAAATTTTATACAAGAATTTTACAGGAATTTTATACAGAAATTTTACAGGAATGTTTATTATGGTCTTGTAATACATGTTATACTTATATACTGTCTACATCTGATATTTGCTAGCAAGATTTAAATCTAGTAAAACATGGAGAAAATAGTTTCTTGCCCAGCAGAAATGTCATTTATAATTCATCTTCTTGTTTATATTGAAAATTGTACTGTGTGTTATTTGACATAACTGTAACTTTATAAGACACCTTTAGAGATGTCGGTTAATGGCATTCTGTAGTACAGACTGTTCTAATTTTTATACCCCCGCACAACAAAGTTGTAAGGGGGTATACTGGAATCAGCTTGTCCGGCCGTCTGTCCGGCCGTCCGTCCGGCTGTCCGTCGGTTTTTTCTTGTCCGCCCAATAACTTAAGATTCCTTTGACCCTCAGTCTTCATATTTGGCATGGAGGTTAGTCATGATTAGTAGATGACCCCTATTGATTTTGAGGTCAAAGGTCAAGTTCACAGATGCCTTGACTTCAAAAAGCTTGTCCGCCCAATAACTTAAGATTCCTTTGACCTACAGTCGTCATATTTGGCATGGAGGTTAGTCATGATTAGTAGATGACCCCTATTGATTTTGAGGTCACTAGGTCAAAGGTCAAGGTCACAGGGGCCTTGACTTTAAAAAGCTTGTCCGCCCAATAACTTAAGATTCCTATGACCCATAGTCTTCATATTTGGCATGGAGGTTAGTCCTGATTAGTAGATGACCCCTATTGACTTTGAGGTCACCAGGTCAAAGGTCAAGGTCACAGGGGCCTTGACTTCAAAAAGCTTGTCCGCCCAATAACTTAAGATTCCTTTGACCAACAGTCTTCATATTTGGCATGGAGGCTAGTCATGATAAGTAGATGACCCCTATTGACTTTGAGGTCACCAGGTCAAAGGTCAAGGTCACAGGGGCTTTGACTTCAAAAAGCTTGTCCGCTCTATAACTTAAGATTCCTATGACCCACAGTCTTCATATTTCGCATGGAGGTTAGTCATGATTAGTAGATGACCCCTATTGATTTTGAGGTCACTAGGTCAAAGGTCAAGGTCACAGGGACTTTGACTTCAAAAAGTTTGTCTGCCCAATAACTTGAAAATCCTTTGACCCACAGTCTTCATATTTGGCATGAATGTCGATCATGATTAGTAGATGACCCCTTTTGATTTTGAGGTCACTGGATCAAAGGCCAAGGTCATAGGGTCTTCGACTTTAAAAAGTTTGTCCACCCATTAACTTAAGATTCCTTTGACTCACAGTCTTCATATTTTGCATGGATGTTGATCATGACAATAAGGTGACCCCTATTGATTTTGAGGTCAAAGGTCAAGGTCACAGGGACCTTGACAAAAAAAGGCTTTTCTTCTCAATTGCTAAAGAATGTCCTGTCCGCAATGTATTGATTTTGACATTTTCACATTTGAAGCATGTAGAATACATAACTTTAGCAATGCACTGGCTTAGTAACCTCAGATTTGGCAGGGAGGTTGTCCTTGAGCTCTAAATGGCCACTGTTGATTCTGACAAAGTGGTATGCGGGGGTATTCACGCCATGATAGTGGCAGTTCTAGTTTAAATTGGTGGCTGCATATTTCAAATAGAAAAAAAGTTAAAGAATGCCCAGAGCAGCAAAATTAAAAATATTGTAAACTGTGGGAGAGGGGGGGGGGGGGTTGTGTACCTGTTTGTGAATTGTAAGTTATTGTAAATGCAGATACAAATCACTCCACTTTACACCTGTTAAAGTAGAATTCAGCTTTTCAATACATGACTGTATGAACATGGTATAAATTAATTTAGAATTTAGAAATACTTAGATGTGTTTATATGTCAATGAGAAGGAACCTTTAAATCTGGCAATTGTGTGTCATTCAATGGAAAGTGACACAATGGTTACCAAAACAAAAGAATGTGTGTGCCTTTAATGTGTAATCAGTGGACGATACTAATGCAGGCTTCGCGAAACTGCTGAAAAATTTGCCTGACATTCAGTCAAACAAACTTTCAATTCTTGTCTGACCGAAAGAACTTTTGTCTGACCGATTTTTTTTTCCCCAAATATAATATATATTATGTATATCGTAATACCTTTGTGTTTGTTTTTTTTAAAGACATAGCAACTTTTAAAGATTTGCAACACAATTTTATTCTCTTAAATAAAACATCAGTTTATCCAGATTGATGGTCCGCGGCCATTTTTCCATTTACCCACAAATTTTCTCGGCAGGCACCTGGACTCGTATTCCTTTTGTTTCCCTTTTCTTTCTTCATTAGATAATTTACGTTTTTTGCCTGGCGTAGCGCAATCGTAATAATGCAGTAACACCAACATTTTCTTCCGAGTACAAGGTCATTGAAAGTCGTATGTATCTAGAATTTGATTGGACACTTATAGTGAAACAGCGAATCAAAACTCGTTTTACATTTTTTTATTCAAGGGAGAAAACTCGGTCTTGATTGGTCTTAAATATACCCCGGTATTCGTACCGGATATAAGGTCCGGAACTCAAAAAAAAAAATATCAGACCGGCCTGATTTTTGCCGGACATGTCCGACGGTCCGGCAACTTTCGCGAAGCCTGCTAATGAAGTTTGTGAGTTTTCATCCAGAATGCAAGAAAGGCAAGTCTGCTCAAGATATTTAGTATAGTAACATTTAAAGTCAGTTTTAATGGAACGTTTACATGTATGTTTGTTATATTTCAGGCATGTGCAGAATTTCTCGAGCTTGCCCAGACTGATGGAAAGAGATGGTACAAAATGTTAGAACACGAGTATAACCAGAAATTAAAGCTACAGGAGCTTCTAGAACAACTTGCCAAAGATCAGAACACGCTGGAAATTCAGGCGAAAAAATCTATGCTACCTGTAACAGGGGAGAATCTAGGTATGTTGATATAATCCTTCTTTAAATAAATTTTGTTTTAGACAGAAATGTTTTCCCGTATGGGGGTACCTGTTTGGCAGAGGTCTTTAGTTTGCTAACTTGCATCAGCTAATGGCCATAGGAATACTAGTATGGTGGTTTATATAAGTGTTGTGGTGTTTTTTTTGTTGTTGTTGATTTTTGTTTTGTTTTCCAACCATTTTTTCAACCATTTAACCACTGAATTTATTAAAGGGACTTTACTGAGGTTTTTTAACATGACCTTTTTGTTTAACATGACCTTTTTGAGATTTTTGTACTCAAATCAGGCTAAGAATTGTATTTACAATCAATTTTTCCATTTAATTCTGAATGTATTTCTTAATATAATCTTGTGCATTATTTTATGTTTCAAGTACCCCGGTTGAAAATCTGCAAGAACTTAAAATGTTTAAGCTTATTAATTTGAGTAGTGTTCCTTTAATAGACTACATGTAATTCAGCTTTATGGACATTATCAATTTTTGGGATATCAATGAGAAAATTTGAAGTTTTTCAGCCAACAGTGTAAAACTTGTAAGACTGAACATCTGTGCAGACTGACCTGGTTCAGAGCCTCTATACTGTTGGCAAAGGCAAATTATCTTTGATTTCATCAGTTCAAAAGTTAAACATTTCTTTTTTTGCCATATTAAAGCCTGGTATTTGCCATATTTAAGCCTGGTTTTTTGCCATATTTAAGCCTGGTTAATCAAGTTTTAAGATCTTTGACTTAATTTGTGTTGAGTAAGCTATCAAGATAACTTTCGGTACATGTAGGCCAGTTTATATAATTCTACGATGATATCCCACTTGTCCTGAAAGATGCACAACAGAAATCTTTTTACCACTTGAAATTCTTGAATGTTGACATAATTATGACCTTCACCCTATTACTTACTTTGTAACAATTAAAGGTACATTGTGCCTCAGAAATGCTTTTATTTTTATTTATCACAAAGCTTTTTAATTTTGGTGTACTTTTAAAGTATCCAGAAAGATACTCATTGGCCAATTACCTGAACCATCTTTTTCATCTGTTGCTTGTCAGCATTAAGTATAACTATAGTAAATGTTTATGCAAGTCAAAATACTTCCTTGTTTACATTTTGCTACTTTTACAACAAATTATTTCACATTTATTGCCACTTTCTTCATGTAACAAGCATTTAAAGATCTCTAAAACCAATATTGAAACATTATAAAAATACATGTTTTGCCCTTTCTAGCGAAGTAAACATTCATTTGTTTCTGAGGCATAATGTACCTTTAAGTTTTCTCGTATATATATGTGTGTGTGCTCAGAGTACAGAATTACAGTCTCAGTATAAACTGACTTGTATAACATAGAAACATCTTCACAGAAGATGAAAATTAAGTTATGTAATGTAAGACATGGTAATAAAAGACTTCAATTTGAGGGTGGGGGGGTGGACTGTGGCTTCTACAAAATCAAGCAGCTGTTTTATTTATTCTCCTACATGATCATCAATTGTAAAAGGATTCTCAGTTTTATCTGCATATTGTGCAGGTTTTGATGGTAAAAATTTCTGAGCCTGTAACTTGTGATTTTTATGTATTTTTCAAAGAGAGACGTTCCTTTAGCATTTGTTTTATTGCCTGTTTAAGTTGGTTAATTTGAAAGTGTAATAATTGTTTCTGTTCTTTCTTGTGTTATTTAATTGAAGATTCCAGTGCAGAAGAGTTTTACTCTATTTTATTATGAAATTGTTTTAAGCAAAGTAATAATCATTCAATAAAACAGCAATTTTCAGTGGAAAACTTTGTACATTGTAACTTTAGAATTTTGAAGTGTTGTGTCATCTGCTCCAGTGTTGTGTAAAACTGACAAATTTGTATTACGACAGATCAAATAAGTACAATTTTAGAACTCTGCAAAACTAATCAATGTTTTGTGTATACCTGGCAGTATTTCAAATTTGTAATTAATATTGATATTATGGAAATATACTTGTATATTTATAACAGGTACTGTGGTATCTGGGTCAGACGAAGATGATTTTGAAGATGCCCTAGATTACCAGGAAGTCATTACATTTCCTGGAACACAGACCCCGTCGCACAGGTAAATGGATATTACAATATTCCCTGTAACTCTTACCTTACTAAATATCTAAAATGGACTTGCCCATCTTTTATTCTGGATAAAACCATTAATAAGTTTTAGGGAAAATAGGTCCTTTCGCATACAGTCTAGAAACAAGAACAATTCTGATTTTCTATGATTTCAATAGAATATGTAACAGCAACTGTTGTCAAAAAGTCAGATAATGATGTACAAGCTAATTGCTTTGTTCCTGTTTAACAAGCATGCAGGAAATGTTGCCATTGGTGATGTGATACCTTGATTTGAATTAAAAGAATTTTCTAATGTAAAATTACAGACGTACAGACAGTGATCTTAGCTTTGAGACGAAGTTGTATGATGGCGAGCAGTACAGTACAGAGTCGGACATAGATGATACTGATGCACCGGAACAAACAATCGGTTTATACCAGACCAAAATTGTACGTTCTCTGTTTTAACTGTTTAATATTGTTGAAATAATGTTTATGATTTTATTGCGTTCAGTATGCTGTTGATTGCATGAAAGATTCTTGAAGCAATTTTTGAATCCGGAAATGTTGGCGGTTTTATTCGTGTTCAGTCGTGCATGAAGGTGCACCTGAGGTCAACCAAATGCATTGTACTTGACAGTCAATAAATGACAGTAACTGTATCAATGAGGCATAAAACCGATTTTAAAGTTATCGGTACAAGTAACGTCCTTGTGAGCTATAAGTAGAAATGGTCTTCTTTAGTCACTGAATCGGAGAGATTTATATTTTAGAATAATACTAAGAGTGCCAAATTGTATACACAGTTAAAGTTAGATGGATTTATTCCATATGAAACCAGATGTTTCAATACTTTTCAAATTCACATCTTTACGTCTGTCAAAACTCCTTATGAACCTAATCCAAGAACCAAATGATTTACCAATAATATTGTATGAACATGTTCCATTGTGCATCAATATTTGTGTTTATATATTTTCTTTGTTTAAGTTTTATCATTTTAGGCTTTTTCATGTGCATTTAGAATTCACAAACAAGTTTTTATTTCAGCATTCGCATTCCGCATGTCATTGGGTATAAATGTTTTTATAATAACATGCTTTAAATGTTTCTTCTCATACCATAAACCATCTGAACTTCCTGTTTAACCCTTAACCTACAGAAATCCATCCTTACAGCTCTGGTTGGCTGGCCATTGAATTTCCAAGTTCGCGTCTTAATAGGATAAGTCTTAAAAGCATATGTTTTTTTTTTTTCTACCCAGATGTTTTGATAGACACTTCCCTGTCTTATGTCAATCTTCCTCCTCCTCTGCTATTCATGAATAATGTTTGTGGGGAATCTGCCACTTACTTGTGGAGAAACAGGTTTTAATGCTGGAATAGAATCCAGAACATCTGTTATGTATCCATGATAATGTATAACCAGAATTTTATTAAAACTGGTGCAAAAAAAAAACAACAAAGAAAACTTACCCTGGTGAATGTGCGTAATGAACTAACCGTGAGGTTTAAAAAATACATTTTCCCTGCTTTGATTTTGGAACAGCTTGTTTGTAGTATTTCAGTGTAAAATATTTAAGAAAAAAATGTTACCAGCAGGGTAGAGCCTTGTCAAACTGCACGCTCATGCAGGCCAGCCTAGTATGTCTTTCTGGCTTATTTATTGCTGGCCAATAGTAGTGGCGAGGGCTAATAGCTTTATATTCATGCTGGTAAGGGCTAAAGGCATGTTTTGCATTGACATTTGAACAGTCTGTTGTTTTCTGAATGAAGGTGCAATATCGTTTTACTCGTTGGTCAGACCGCCAGCTAGCAGTTACAGAGCTTAGTGAGGCTACGTAAACATACAAGCTGGTGTGGTTGTTACGGCTAAATAGAGCCAGTCTGCGTGTGATTCCGATTATAATTTAAAATAAGCTTTATTTTTTCTTCAACTGTTTTGTTTATCATTGTGTTTTGTTTTTCGTTTTGAAACTTGAGCTACCTTCAAACAGGAAAAGTGGACATTTTTTTGTCTATGTTCAAAGTTAAGTCTGTCTAGTGTTTCTCAATTTTCACTGATAATTTGTGTTAATTTGCGATAGTTTGTGTTAACTTTGTGTTTTTACTTTGTCAAGAATGAGATTGTGTTATGTGTGCAGATTACGTTTCAGTAATTTATTGATTTGTCTTAGAATTTAAGCAATTTTCATTGTTGAAAATTTCATTAGCAATTAAATTCTAATTTAAGCAGATAATATTGTGTAGTCATCATGTGAATTTTTCTTATGATGTTTAACCACTGAATTTACTTAATAGATCATAATTATTTTAAACATTGAGATTTTTAAGTTTAATCATTAAAATTAACCCTTACCAACCTAAATATTATAAATGGACTTGTCAATCTGGACTAAACCATTAATAATTTTTAGGGAAAATTTCAAGACATGTATTGACTGAATAGGGAACAGTGCAGACCATGATCAAATGGCAGGGGTGTGTCAGCTGATCTTGGTCTGCACTGGTGGCATGGGTATATTTAGTTGCAGCTTGTGGTTAAGGTGTCTACCTCTCAAACCAGGGATCATGGGTTTGAGCCCTACTTGGGTCACAACCAAGCTTCTTCATAATTATGACAAAATTATGGATAATATCCAGGAAACTTAGATTAATATAATTAATTAAACCTAAGCTAAACCTTTTTGCTAAATTTTAAAATGAACTTTACCTTACCATGCCAAATATTATAATGAACTTTACCCAAACATGCTAAATTTTATAATGAACTTTACCTAATCATGCTAAATTTTGAAATAAACTTTAACCTTACCATACTAAATTTTATAATGAACTTTATCTGGCCATACTAAATTATAAAATGAAGTTTACCTTACCATGCTAAATTTTAAAATGAACTTTACCTTCTTTGTATATGAAACAGTCCATGAGTGGAGAATTTCATTATCAGAATAAAAAAATAATTCTGCCAACAGCATTGAGTCTGGTCAGACTACAGGGGTGTAAAGTCTGGCTTGACAATACTGGTGGCAATGGCCATTCACTTTCATGTCCAGTATGTAAAGGGGTTAATAAAACTGTGTATATTAACATCTTTATAAAGTTAATTTCTAACTATTTTGTTATGCATTAAAGGGACTCCACTTAGGTTTTTTTACATGATCAGACTGGAAATAATTTTTCGGGATTAATGTCCGATTTGATGTAGGTCTAGATTAATAACTTGTTTGCTAAATTTCAGATTATTTGCTCAATCTGTTTTTCCAGAATAATTATTCCAATTGTAAAAACTACTCAAATCTGACTTAGAATAGCACAAAAATACAATTTTCAAGTTATTTCTTAAAATATCTATTATTATTTTGTATATATTATATCTTTCTGTTTTGAGTGCACCAGCTGATCTAATTGTAAGAAATTATTAAAATTTCAGGTTTTTAGGTTTTTCGACCGCAGTGGAGTTCCTTTAATTCTTTATGTAATGAAACTGTGTTTAATATATGAATGCATTTTGGAATTTTGTAGTATGATTGATATTAAACAATGGCTGATAATAGTGTCTACCCTAATATCTAATCTGTAAATTTCTGCCGTCTGCAACAATTCTTTTATGAATATAATGTGAAACAACTCATGTGCTGGTTAAAAGATATGTATATGAAACCAGTCAAGCTTATTATGTATGACATTATCAAAATAATCTAAACCTAAATGCTTAAAAGTTGTCATAATATGTAAGACAGCAAAAACTTCAAGTCTGGTGTTTATTTCTGACATTCTGACTGAAAGAGCATGGAAGAAATATGAAATCCTAGTATCATATTAATTAAAGATATATTATGCGCAAATTTGACATTTGAAAATACGGAGAATTGCTATACGCTGAGTTTCTATTTAAATGTAAAATAAACAAGTTTGGAGTACACACAGAGAAGATTTGTTGATATGTTATGTACACTAAGTTTACACTGTATGAATACAAAGTGTCGTGTTTTTTTTAAAGGAAATAACCATATCAACTTTGCCAAATATAGGGACTGCAGCTTCCCAAACTTAAAAAGCAGCATAATAATCTTAAACATTTTGCAGTCAAACCTGAGAACAAAGGACACTTGAAGAGGAAATCCAAACATAGCCTTTATAGACAAATGGTCTTTATATAGGGGTTACTCAGTTCTATGAAACCAATGAACAGTTGTTGGAAAAAGGTCTTTTAATTTACGGGGTGATCCAGGGTTCCTTTTGGGTCAATTTTAGTTTGTGCCAACAAATTTGCTAGTCAGAAAAAGTTGCAGCCAATGGCTTCAAAGTTGGAGTCATTAATTCTGCAAGAGAGACTGTGATGATGCCTAAGCAGATCTTAATTTAGAGGTGGTTTTTAACTCAGTTTTAACTGTATTTCAGTTTATGACCTGTATTCATATGTGTTAAATTACAAGAGTCCTTCTATGTAATTGTAATGAGTCTTTAGAGAATCAACCATAAGATTACTAAAACAACATAATTTTACTGATTTTGAATTTCATAAAGATATTTCTTTCCATATAGCGTTATACGTTTTAAATTGCAGAAAAAGATGAAGAAGAAAGCTACCCGAATAAATAACTCAGACAATAGTCGGGAAGCACAGAAACCAGCTAGCACAGCATTGATACCTAAACGACAGAGGCGTCTTATCATATCTCCAAAACCTAATTACAGTCTTAACTTGTGGGGCATCATGAAAAACTGTATAGGAAAAGAACTTAGTAAAATTCCAATGCCAGTAAGTTATACTTAGTAAAATATTAATGAAAGTATGTTGCACAAAGTGAAATTTCAATGCCAGTAGGGAGGGTTTCAATTCTATATCAATGTGCTGATATCGGAAACAAAAACACACAGAGGGAAAGGACCATTCTAGAAAATGAGAGTTTTGTATTGGTCAATTTTCAAATTCTGGAATATATTATTAGCTAATCAAATTCTGATAATTTTGAATGGATTCTGTTGTAAAGTTGAGATGAAATTTTTCTTTGTTAAATAACAGAGCAATGGGTTTTTTTGTTCAGAATGTCATGAATTGTTTAGTTTTGTTCATAAAGATCTATCACTGGTGTACTAGTATATTACACGATTTCATCTGTTGTTTTTCAGGTGAATTTCAGTGAACCTTTATCCATGTTACAAAGAATTACGGAAGATTTTGAGTACGCGTCGTTGTTAGACGAGGCGGCGGAGTGCGAAGATTCCACGGAACAGTTAGCATATGTCACAGTGTTTACTATATCCTCATATTCAACTACTATAAATAGAACTACTAAACCTTTTAATCCATTACTCGGTGAAACATATGAATGTGATAGAACGGATGATTTAGGCTGGCGTTCATTAGCGGAACAGGTAACGATGAATCGTTTTGATTTTGATTTTCAACTTCTATAGTTTTGATTTTTTTGTATGAATTTGCCGTGTTTTGATATTTCGTAAGGTCCAGTGTTAATTTTAGGGATTTGAATAACGTTGTGTTATATACTAAAATTAGGCAGTTATAAGTTTCACACTGACCCCTCTTAATTTCTTAAATAGACTGTACCAACTTCCATTTTTTGGGACTGTTCATTATCAGTTTTAAGGGATATGGAGATAGAAATTTAAAGCAATGGTATAGAGCCTGGTCAGAGTGTACAGATGTGCAGGCTGACCAGGCTCTATACTGGTTGCCAAGGTTATTACATTTGTAGGTTAAGGGATAATGAGTAAGGTTGAAGTTAAAATTAAATTCAATGTTTTTTTTCCCTGTTGCCTGTTAAAAAGTTATTTAAATAAAGAAAAATGAAAGGTGATCATTAATAGATTTACATAAATATGCTGTTTCTGTTAAAATAAAACAAAACTTTAGGAAAGATTTTATTCATTTTCAAAAACCTTAGATAATTTATATGCCATACAATGTTAAAGAATTTTAAATTTTTCTTAAGTAGGATAAAGTTATCAGGATAACAAGTCTAAGAATGGCAATATTTAGTCTTTTAAGATGATAAAAAGAAAGAGAGCTGACTAATGCTGTAGAGTTTCAAATGCTCATTGGATGGGTAGGGGGACAGGGCAGAACAGTATAACATACAAGTACCTGCATGTTTACAACTTTACATTTGCAAATATTGTGAGAATTTATCCCCCCTGTTTTCCCAGCTTAAATGCACATCCACGTTTCTCCACCAGAATTTTTGCTAGACTGTTCTATAGAGATTAGCCTGTGTGGCTACTTTTTTCAACCCTAAACCTGCTTGAACCAAAAGTGATTAGCCTATGCCACCAGTATAGAGCCAGGCCAGCCTGCACTTCCCTGTAGCCTGACTAGGCTCATTACTTTAAGTAGCTCTATCGTCATATTTTTAAATAACCCTTTTCCGTTCCAAATTAAAAGTAGGGCAAAGCTGTACACAAATTCAGGAAGTTAAGAGTTTCAGGCTTACCAGTACTTTCTAGTCACTTATGTGGATTCAAGTCCTGCCAGGGAAATTAGATGTACATTGTGAGGTAGCCATCCACTTAGCTTATAGATGATCTTTGATTTTACTGTTGTGACCACTTTATGACTGAAATAATGTCTATATTAGTGGCATTTAGGATATGCCAGCATTATTTTAGGTATGCCACCATTATTTATGGTAGCTACCATTTTTTAACATTTGCCACCATTATTCAACGTATGCCATGATTAGAAAGATTGAAAAGGTGATGTAAAAGATCTAAAACTGTTTTTGGGATCAGTCTTTTAGTGAAAGTTAAATATGATAAGATTGACGACTAAAATTATATGATGGTATCATTTATTATTCAGCCAACAAGATTCCAACAGAATATATAGTTTCACATACTCTCCAAAATAATGCCAAAATGATAACCAGACATTCCCATATTACTGATTTTCCTAATTAATCCTTTCATATTTCACCCAATTCATGCCAACCTATATATATAATCATGATACACGTATTGTTTACAGGTTAGTCACCATCCGCCTACTGCTGCCCTCTGTACGGAGGGTAAAAACTGGAGATTGTGGCAGGAATTCACAATGGGCAGTAAATTTAGAGGAAAATATCTTCAAATTATACCTACGGGTATGTGGTTATAGTGTCACTGAGTGATATGTGTGGGCAATTTTAGTGGTGTCAAACCTGATGAAGATGTATTTGTGACAAGAGATTAAGAAATTTTAGTTTTTTGGATAGAGTATAAAGGCTCATCTGTTGCCATGAAAGAAAATTGTTTTATAGAATTATACAAAAATATTTGTACAAATTTAGTTTGTAAAGAAAGTCAGCTACTTTATAGCAAATATGAATTAAGGGAGCGTTGTATTACAAATGATTGTTGAGCTTATTTAAAACGATTTGGAAAAAACATTTGTTTATTTTAAAAAAATCATATGTATAGGTTAAAAAAAGATGCAAAAATTGAAGCATTTAAATTTTTAGGTGTCACAAATATGTCTTATAATGCATGTGTAATACTGTTACTTTTTTACAGACATTTTCATATACAGAGATTCTGCAATAAATCCTTTTGTTATGTTACTAGAAAAGGAAAAACCCCACAAAAATCTTTTCTTAAAAAGTCATAGATTGAGAATAAAAAAATATCTCACAAGTTGATAATATTTACTATGTATGAATTTGTATGAATTTGTATATTATGAAAATGTCTTGTGGAAAAATTTTATTATATTGAGCTTGAATATTCTATGATTGCTTTTATACCATCCTCAATATATATTCCTCCATATAGTGTCCATTTCTTACCTCTATATAAATCCTACCTTTTGTATACATTTTTCACAATCAGTGGGGGATAAACAAATTAGGTGGGAGGGGATGGGGTGGGGAAGAGTTCCTGAAATTGGTTCCTCATTTTCTTTTAGATCACTACTTTTCTTTAGTTATATATGGTTATTTGCCAATATTTATATCGTATATAAATATATATGAGCCGTGCCATGACAAAACCAACATAATGGATTTGTGACCAGCATGGATTCAGACCAGCCTGTGCATCCGCGCAGTCTGATCAGGATCCATGCTGTTCGCTATCAGTTTCTCTACTTGTTAAAGAGTATGTAAGCGAACAGCATGGATCCTGATCAGACTGCGCAGATGCGCAGGCTGGTCTGGATCCATGCTGGTCGCAAACCCATTATGTTGGTTTTGTCATGGTGCGGTTCATATAATGTTTATTGTCATGGTGAAATCAGAAAGTGACAAGCTAACTTAACATGTGCAGGTTAGTCATCACCCGCCCACTACCTCTGTACATACACAGGGTAGGAAATGGACACTGTGGCAGGAGTTTACTATGGGAAGTAAATTCAGGGGAGCTTATCTCAATATTGTCCCTACAGGTAACATTTAAGTTGTCTCCCTTTTACCTGTACATTGGATTCAATGAATGTTATGGTTTGTAAACATAAACTGGTTCCAAAAGGAACTAGTTTACCCATTCATATTTTTGTTGTGATGATGTTAATTACTGTTTGTTCACAAATTAAATTGAGTATACTCTGTCGGCTTTTATTCCCACTATTTACTGAGTAATTTATGAGGAGTTTATGTGAATGACAAAAGAGCGGACCATTACTAACTATGTTATATCATTTATTCTAACACGACCTGCATTTTCCCTATTGAACGTAGAAGAACCGAATGTGTGTGTTATTATGCTATAAAATCATTGTTTCATGTTCTATATTTAGACATGTGATGTAATCATTATACACGTGACGTAACCACTAAAAATGTGCCGTGCTGACAATAAGTACGGAAACAAATCGGGCGCAATTTAGCTTAATATCAGGTATGGCAGCATGTATTTGTTGATGTCGTGTTAGAATCGAAATAATATATTCAAATCGTTGATTTCATTGCTTGATAAAATCACTGTTTCTCGTTCGGATGCGCATCATTATATCACTCGGGTCACGTCCTCGTGTTAAAATACCACGCATCCTAATTCCAAACAGTGATTTTATTGAGCAATAAAATCAAAGTTTTGGAGATATTATTTCTTAATTCTTATTCCTGAAAACAAGCATATTAGATAATATAATATAATTTCACTTCAGAAATTATTTGTGATTAATAGTCATTTTAGGAGAAATTGGTAATTACTGGTTAGTTATCCAGAGAAAAAACTGGTTAGGTGGATCGGCTGCCTAGAAATGGAAAAAAATATGTTACATCAATGGTGTATTGTTGCCTAGAAATTGGAAAAAGTAATTTAAAATTGGAGTAAAAGAACAAGAGACAAACAAATAATCTAAAATTAAAAATGTTTTTTGTTTTGTTTTGGTTAACAGGTATCGCACATCTCGTCTTTGAAAAATCTGGTAATCACTACACATGGCGTAAAGTGACAACAACTGTGCATAATATAATAGTGGGTAAACTATGGGTAGATCATCATGGTGAAATGGACATTAAAAATCATAAAACTGGTGATAACTGTCACCTCAAGTATTACCCATATAGCTACTTCTCCAGAGATAAACCCAGAAAGGTACGAAAATGGTTTATGATACTGAGTGTTTATCATACTGGTTAATCATACTAATTGTTTATCTCTCTAAGTATAAATGTTTCTGTATTGGTTTATTATACTGGGTGTTTATCAAATTGGTTTATCATACTGGGTGTTTATCAAATTGGTTTATCATACTGATTGTTTGTCATACTGTTTTATCATACTAATTGTTTATTTCTCTAAGTATAAATGTTTTTGTGTAATGGAGAAGATATTCAGTAAGTTTACCTCAAGTATTAGCCAAATAGCTACTTTGAGATAAACCAAGAAAGGTATGGAACTGGTTTTACCGTTTATCATACTGATTGTTTATCATACTGGGTTGTCTTATTGAGTGTTTGTCTCCCTAAGTATAAATGTTCAATATTTGTAGAAAAAAATTACCTCAAGGAAACATGATTTAGTATTTGTAGCAACTTTCTGCTCAAGGCATTGTATGCAGTATTTGTGACAATTTAAATAAGCATAAACATTTGTTAAAACTGTCTGTGACAATTACTGTGAATTCACATATTGTCGTGGGCATGAAATTTTGTGGTTTTGACACAAAGAACATTTTCGTGGGTTCTTAAATTTGTGGACTGTTGGTTTTTTCCTCCAAAGGTAAAATGTAAATAATAGGATGCAAAATCATTTTTACAGCAGACGAAATGAAGTTTCGTTGGATCTTCTTGTTGACCTAGCCACGAAAACCTGGAATATTAGTTCCCCATGAATAAAAACGCTTTTGCAGTAACACATTCAAAATGGTAACAATTTTCATAACTTCTGTTTAGGTAACACATGTTCAATCTTTGTAACAATATTGTGTTACAGGTAACAGGAGTGGTAACGGATTCTAGTGATGCAGCTAAGTGGGTTATAACAGGAACTTGGGATACACAGATGGAAATTGCTCAAGTTTTACAAGTCGACGAGTCATCTAAAAGACCTGTGTTTCAAACAGGCCCTAAAAGAGTTTTATGGACACGGGTGTTACCTCCGTTAGTATAATTGATCTTTATTTTTCATGCTTCTGAATTAACAGTATTTTCTAACGGATCTTTTACTTTTCATGCCCCAAAAATTAGCAGGACAGGTGATATACTTTTAATGTTCATTAAGCAAGTTTGCAAATATGTCTGTCTCCTAGAAAATCCACCATACCTCTGTTAGTTATGAACATGTGTTGTATTTTCAACACATTATATTTCTTGAAATTTTTACACTGTGAAAAATATAGATGTATTCAGGAATTCTGGATCAAAATTGGTAAGAAATATTTCTACACTGTAAAAATAAATATTGTACATGTATTCAGGATCATAATTGATGTCAGGTCTCTTATAATTAAACACATATCTAATCATGGTCACATATCTTCCTTTCTTTTTAAACTCAGGCCAGGGTCAGATAAGATGTACTTTTTTACACAACTTGCAATACAATTGAACGAGCCAGAGGACGATGTAGCGCCGACAGATTCACGGAGACGACCCGACGAGAGACTCATGGAGGACGGAAACTGGGACGAGGCTAACAGGGTCAAAGTTCAACTGGAGGAGAAACAGAGAGCAAAGAGAAAAAAGATGGAGGCCGAGGCCGAGGATTGTCTAAAGAGAGGTCAGTACCGAGGGTGGAGGGATGTGGTAGGGGTGAAGAGTTGTAATGGGGGCAGAGGGATGTGGTAGGGGCAGAGGGTTGTGGTAGGGGTGAAGGGATGTAGTGTATTAATGGGTTTAGTGCAAGTTAAACTGTATTTTCAGCGACCTGCCATATGGTTTTATTAGCTCACCTGTCACAAAGTGACAGGGTGAGCTTTTGTGATCGCTTTTCGTCCGGCGTCCGTCGTCCGTCCGTCGTCCGTCCGTAAACTTTTACTTTAAATGACATCTCCTCATAAACCACTAAGCCAATTTCATCCAAACTTCACAGGAATGTTCCTTTGGTGGTCACCTTTAAAAATTGTTCAAAGAATTTAATTCCATGCAGAACTCTGGTTGCCATGGCAACCGAAAGAAAAAACTTTAAATATCTTCTTTTAAAAAACCCTAAGAGCTAGAGCTTAGATATTTGGCATGGAACATCTTCTAGTGAGTGTCTACCAAGTTTGTTTAAATAAAATCCCTGGGGTCAAAATTGGCCCCGCCCAAGGGGGTCATTGATTTTCCCTATATGCATATAGTAAAAACTTAATAATTCTTCTTTTAAAGAACCCAAAGAGCTAGAGCTAAGATTTTCAGCATGAAACACCTTCTAATGAGTGTGTACCAAGTTTGTTCAAATAAAAGCCCTGGGGTCAAAATTGGCCCCACCCCAGGGGGTCATTGATTTTCCCTATATGCATATAGTTAAAACTTAAAAATTCTTCTTTTAAAGAACCCAAAGAGCTAGAGCTAAGATATTCAGCATGAAACATCTTCTAATGAGTGTGTACCAAGTTTGTTCAAATAAAAGCCCTGGGGTCAAAATTGGCCCCGCCCCAGGGGGTCATTGATTTTCCCTATATGCATATAGTAAAAACTTACAAAATCTTCTTTGAAAGAACTCAAAGAGCTAGAGCTAAGATATTCAGCATGAAACATCTTCTAATGAATGTCTACCAAGTTTGTTCAAATAAAAGCCCTGGGGTCAAAATTGGCCCCGCCCCGGGGGGTCATTGATTTTCCTTATATGTGTATAGCAAAAACTTAAATAATCTTCTTTGAAAAAACCCAAATAGCTAGAGTTTAGATATTAAGCATGAAACATCTTCTAGTGAGTGTCTACAAAGTTTGTTCAAATAATAGCCCTGGGGTCAAAATTGGCCCCGCCCCGGGGGGTCTTGATTTTCCCTATATGCATATAGTAAAAACTTAAAAAATCTTCTTTGAAAAAACCCAAATAGCTAGAGTTAGATATTAAGCATGAAACATCTTCTAATAAGTGTCTACAAAGTTTGTTCAAATAAAAACCCCGGGGTCAAAACTGGCCCCGCCCCAGGGGTGTCATTGTTTTTAACTATATGTGTGTAGTAAAAACTTAAAAATCTTCTTTTAAAAAACCCAATGAACTAGAGCTTAGATGTTTAGCATGAAATATCTTCTTATGGATGTCTACCAAGTTTGTTCAAATAAAAGCCCTTGGGTGAAAATTGGGGGGGGGGGGGGGGATGAGATCATTGTTTTTCATTACATGTGTGTAGTAAAAGCTTAACATTGTGAAACATCTTCTAATGAGTGTCTTCCAAGTTTGTTCAAATAAAAGCCCTGGGGTTTAAACTTGCCCTGCTATGGGGGCCTATATACAGGTGAGCGACCTCAGGGCCATCATGGCCCTCTTGTTAGTCAAAAGATTTAATATTTATCATTATTTACAATAGATTTAAATGCTTTGGCAAATTGCTTCATCTGGCTAGCTGGGGGCGTTCATGCCAGTCTGGTTAATGTCATTAACATCAAACTATTTGCCATTTATTGTTGTGGGTTTGAATCACGACAGGGACTTTGGATTCTTTGATGGGTGGAAGATGTCCAGATAGCTAAGAAACATCCCTTGTTCTACTTGGATGACCATTTATGCCTGAAATAATGCACAGAGGAGCACCTTTGACCCTTTATTATCGGAAAGGCGGGAAAGAATCAATATAATATACAATGTGTTGGTGTGATGTAAATCACAACCAAAAAAGAAAACAATAAAACACCTAGATATTAATTTATTTCCCTCCAACAGCTGATAAATATTTTATGGAGTTTTAGGTTTACAATGATTTGTAATGGTTTGTTTTTTGTTATAGGTGAAGAGCCACCTTGTCATAGACCAATGTGGTTCAAGAGAGAGAAGGACGAGATCACAGGAGAAATGATATTTAAGTCGACGGACAAATACTGGACGTGTAAAGAGAACTCGGAATGGACGGGATGTCCGGATATATATCTGTGATAAATCAGATTCCTCTATGCTGATATAAACTTATGAACGCGATTTGTTATTTATTATGTGATTTTGTTAGCCCCCGAATCCTTTCCGATCCCCTCCTTTCCCGCCTTCTTTCTTAAGGGCGTACAGGCAATATATATGTGGGAGGGGGAGGATAGGTGTGGACGCTGGAAGGACCTTTTTTGATAGGAACAAGATCACTTGTTCATGCAAGCACGATGATATAGAAGTAATTACTGCACTTTGGACATTTATAGAATTATGTTGATTCAAATTTTGAATATCAGAATTGATAATGTTTGTTAAGAATTTCATGGTTGCATTTGTAAACTAAAATTAAATCTTTGAAAATAAATATTCATATATTTGTCTGAAATGGAGAATAAAATTATACAGTTAAAATTAATCTTTAAAACTTTGAATCTACAAAGATTTGTGATCTTTTGATAGATAATTGCTTGGATTCTTCTGTGTTGAGTCAGTGAAACTGTTTATTTTGGTATGTAAACTTACAGTCTTTAGTTCTGTATTCTGAATACTTAGTTTGACAATGTTTAACCTATGCTACCATTATATAGTTAGGACAGCTGGTACATCAAATGCAGTATTGTTAGATTTTATACTGTTGTCTGATCACTTTTAGTGGTCTGACATTGAAATACCTAAAAACTAACAATGGACTTACCCAAAAATCAGAGCAAGGTAAATCCATTAGTCATTGTCAAGGTGTGAAAGGGTTAAATTTTAGTTTATAAATGCAACCATAAATATCATAAAATACAAGTGCACATTGAGTGTCAAGATAAAGTTATTGCATTTTTAAAAGCCAAGATAAAAGTTAAGGTGTAAGATATCAATGATTTTTAATGTCAAGATACGATTATAGAGAGTTTGAATGCCAAGATATAATATTTATGAATGTTAAGGTACAGTTATAGGGAGTTTAAATGTCAAGATATAGAATTTTTGAATGTCAAGATATTGTTGACTTGGCTTGAGGAAGATCATCATTCTTTCAGGAAGTTTTGGGAAAAAGAAAGAAATTTGTAAATTAAGAGAAGTTTTTGTTATAGAAAACTTACTTTTAAAGTTGAGGAAATGTGGTTTATTTGTTGTGTCATTTTTGTTTCAAACCTGGGTCCAAAACACAGAGAAGAGTATATTCATTGTAGACAGAAACAAAATACAGTATAATTGATAACATGATATGGTTTGAAACTGTTGTTTATACTAAACTTTTGTTGTAAAGCTTTAGAAAAGATTAGATCCTGGTTTCATAAAATGACAGGGGTTTGGAGAATTTTGAACTATACTGTACTACAGAATGACCAAAGATTTAGGCATGTATTGTAATGTATAGCTGTCCGTTACTAAGTGTTGCATTGTTTTGAATATTGATGTACAAATATTCAGACAAATTTTTATCATTTTAACTTTAATCTTTAACCTGCTGAAATGGACTTGTCCAACTGGTTTCATTACTTTGGAAATGTCCATTTTCAATTTAGGGGAAATCAAGATAAAAATTTATAAAGCTTTTTAAAAGTTACATAGCCAACAGTATAGAGCCTGGTCAAACTGCATGGATGTGCAGGCTGGTCTTGAGTCTATTCTTGTGGCAAAAGCTAAACATTTCAGTTTCGGCAGGGTAACGGTTAAAGTTTACAAAGTTAAATAAAGAAAAATGTTAATCAGTATCAGGAACCCTGAAAGCAATATCATAATTATATCATTATTTTAAAAGAAATGTTACTTATAATCACATATCCAAATCTATTCTACACGTGTGTCTTTTTTAGATTTTCCAGAGCAATTAGTGATTAAATTTGTTATGTTTTTTGTAATTTTACCATGACTAATTGTATTGTAGACCCAATTATTTTTAGTTAGTTTAATTTTTCTAAAAAAATTCATGAATCCATCTTTAGCAAATTCCTAATTATCTTGAATAGATATGTAACATTGGTTAAATTTTATTTTATTCTGCAACAATTTTGAATAACGTGAGGATGCAAATCCATGAATATATGAATAATAAACAACAACCCTTTTTAGGCAAAAAAAAGAAAGAAATTTTGACAACATTATATTGCACACATTAATAGAGTATAGACATACAGTACAGTATTTTATTCTGAAGACCAGAGCTATGTAAAGGCAGGCAAGAAAACATAATGCTACACTTGAAAAAATCACACATGTGAATAAAAAATGTTTGTACTTTGTATTTGAAGTACCTAACTGGCATTGTTAATTAGTATTTATTTAGAAATACGATGATTTATGTTCAATTGTAAATATTTGAAATGTATTCTGTATATAATAGCTTTATTTCTTGGTTCACAGTGCTGATTCTATACCGTTGAAGATAATGTACACATGATTTTCCTTGGGTTTTCGTTTCATTAGCTTATTTATGCCAACTTATTTTTACCTTCCTGTCCCAGGTAGTAGAACTTTAGAGTCACCCTTTAATCCATAATTGAGCAAATATTTGTTGATGATTTCTTTGTTCAACATCTTAAATCAGTTCTTCAGTATTCACAGCTGTTTAAAGCAATTTTGGTTGGTCTTTTGGGCTTCCAGTAAGGAAATTGTGAGCAGAGACATTGTTAACAAGTAATCAGATTAAGGAAATTGTGAGCAAGTTATTTTATCACTTGTACTTTATGTACACCTATGAAGAAGTTGCAGATTGTATTAGTATGCTCAGTATTATTTTATAAAACATCATTTAACCCTAAAACTGCTGCATTTCTGAAATGGTTTTCTCCAGCTTCCATTTTTGCAACTCGCTCTGGAAACGATTAGTATTTAAATAAATAACAATTTCTCGGAGGTTGATTAACTTTAGAGTAAGAGATAGTCATTGGCCTGGCTCTATAATGATGGTAAGGGCTTAATCACTTTAGGTTTCAGGAGATAAGAGTTAGAAAGATGTTCGATATTTCCTAATCACAGCAATGCAAATTGAGAATGAATGTCTTCTAAATTGTATCTAACCTTTTACCTGCTGGAACAGAAGGTGAGATGCCTTTGCCACCAGTATAGAGCCAGGCCAGCGTGCTCATCCATGTAGTCAGGTCAGGCTCTATGCTGTTTTGAAGCTGAATTTTTGTATGGAAATCCCTTGAATATTGGATGGACTGTTCCAAATTAAAAGCTGGGCTAATCAATTACACAAATTCAGAAGGTAAAAAGTAATAAAGTGTAGAACAAGTTTTTTTTTACTTGCATTGTATTTCTAATGCTTTGATTTTGAAAGGTTGTTACAATGCAAAACATGATTTTTCTACTGTTGAGCTCAGGTTCCCAGGTTTTGTTGAAAATCAGGTTTAAATTCTGGCTTCGAATTCTAGTGATCTGATTGGCTTGTTTATAATTCCTAATTCAGAGTTTGACCAATGAAAATAAATGTTTTGTAATATTAGTGTTGTAACAAAGTTTATGACTTAATGATATTAATAGTCTTAATAATGCTCACAAATTGAATTATCTCCCCTTTTAACATGTTTATATCTTGTCTTTTTTGTAAACAAACATGTACACTTTGTTTTTGTTAAAAAAAATGATTTTAAAGCAAAGCTTTTGTCCTTGTTATAGATCTAATTTTTTTAGTGTAATTTGGTACGGCTTTGTATGTAGTCAATTTATTTCTGCAAAATAATTTCAAAAAACTTAATATGTTTAGTGTTATGTTAGGTTTGCACAAAAGGCAAGTTTATTTTTTGATAACTATCCTCATAGTTATGTGCCCTTTGTAGAGAAATTGGCTATCATTGAAACTTAAAAAGCCTCTGTGGGGCTCTTGTAACAAGCTTTTTTTCTTCACTGGTACCAAAAATTGAACATGAAATATTGATATCATTAAAAAAAAAATATTTTTGAGACACAAAAAAGGCGTGAAAAGGGGTAAAATAAACTGTTACATAACTAGTCACTTTTTTAGACTTTAACCTGCATGAATTAAAGTGATAGCCTGTGCCAACAGTTACTAAAAGAGCCATGCCAGCCTGCACATTTTGTAAATTTTTTGTGTATTTTGTTGTTGAAATCCCTTTGAATTTTATTGGACTGTCCAAAATTCAAAACGGGGCAAGTCCATTATTAGAATATAGCAGGTAAGGGGTCAATAAGTCTGTATTTAATGTATATTGTCATGGAGTTTTTGAGCTTGGATGCATGATAAACCAATCTCGATGTATAAATTCATAATTTCATTTTAAAATAAAATACAGTAGGTGCAACATATGCAAACAAGTTTGTGATTTAATATGCACGATCATCTCTGTTTATGTAAAAATTTGTTGACAGACTAATTCATATCAGCTTTAGCTTGACTGTTTAAAAAAATTGGAAAAAGAGATTGCGTTATTGTCATAACCCCTTATTTGCATCGGCATTTTATTTAAGTTATGTTAAGGTTCAATTTACAGAAGTGTCAAAGATTTTTTTCTGTAGACTTTCTAGACTATGTGTTAAACAGCAGGTAATCCAAAAAAGGGAACATTTTGGTAAAAAGTTATGCCCCTATTCTAAGCATAGAATTTTATGTTTATAAATTTTTTTTTTTTTTTTTTTTTTGCATTAAGGTATACCTGGAAAACAGTTTTCATTTTCAAATTGGGGGACTGTAGAAAAAAGTGGTTTGCATGCGGTCTCATAGATGGCTTTAATATACAATGTATATTATAATATAAATGTATCCTTATATAAACATGAGTAAATGATTTTATGTTATTTAACATGATGCTGTGATTGATTGGTTGGTTGGTTGATCGATCGATCGATTGATTTGATTGTAAACACAATTTAAAT